TACTCCCTGTGCAACTCCTACTCCTCACCACCACGAGCACCACAGAAAAGCATCCCCAAGAGTGGATCTCTCACCTTTCTGATATAGTGAGAACTAATTTCACAGCTTATAAAACCTTGCTCCACAAACTGCATATACCAAATTTCCTCCATTGGTCTCACACACTTAAACAAAAAGAAAAAAAGGAGCAGCGCCCCTTTCATCTTCTCACTTCCATTTAACCCTTCTTCTCAAACTCTTATTTCAGCAATCTCAGCTCTCTGAATCAATAATCACATTTCACCCTTAATCAATATTGCCTCTGAATAGCCTATCCACCTTGTAGTAATCCACTTCAAAATCAATAGATTAATACTTTAAGCACCACTCAGATCTTCATTATCCTTTTGTCTACTTTTCAACAGTCAACAATTTCCTAATGGAGTTAAGAATGTCAAGAAGGGCAGCTTCTGCCTGCAGACAGATAAAAAGTATGTATGTTAAATAGATTCCCCAACTTTCCCTGCTTACAAAGAACACCACAGCATGCTCTGTGGCCCAGGCAGGTTTGATGAGCTGCAGAATGGGTTCTTTTTAAAGGTTGCCTTCATTCTAGTAGTCTCGATGTAGATGGGACTGAAACTCTGCTGAGTACATGATGGCCAAACTGTCATTCAGTTTTGAATCTATCCTTATATTGACATCAATGATACCTTGAGAGAGATGAGGAAGGCCTTTACATTTTGGCCTACAGTAGGCAGCTTGAAAGGAACCCTGTTATCAAAGGCTGTGTCCAGACTCAGGGGTTTTTTCGGGAAAAGTAGCCTTTTTCCGAAAAAACTTCACCTGCGTCTAGACTGCAGCCGCGTTCTTTCGAAATTAAATCGAAAGAATGCGGCTTTTCTTTCGACGGTGGTAAACCTAATTCCACGAGGAAGAACGCCTTCTTTTGAAAGTGCTCTTTCGAAAGAAGGCGTTCTTGAAAGCAAACAGGCTTTTTAGAAAGAGAGCATCCAGACTCACTGGGTGCTTTCTTTCGAAAAAGCGGCTTGCTTTTTCGAAATTCCGCGTGCAGTCTAGACGCTCTCTTTCGAAAGAGGCTCTTTCGAAAGTATCTTTCAAAAGAGCCTCTTTCGAAAGAGGCTCGCAGTCTAGACATAGCCAAAGAAATCACACTTGGCCTGAAAGATTATTACCTACTACTATACACTAACACTAGAGATAACTAACAGACAAAGGTTAGAGAGAAAAACAGCATCTCTATTTTTTCAATTTACTTTCTTTGCTGATTTGACAGCACTTCGAAGATAGTCTGTCTCACTTTCCCCCCCTGCATAGTCAGTCCATAGTCTCTGTTATATCTGTGTGGGACAGCTGGAGAGTGAAGTCTCAGAACACACTCCCTTGTGGTATGACATAGTACTACAGACACTGAATTCCCTTCCGGTTCTCCCAGTAACTTTTTCACAGCCTACACTAGTGAAAATAACATCTCCCTTTTCTTAGGCTCTAATTTATCAAGATTGCTTGTTTGAAAATAAAGACTCTCTTGAGCCTTCAGGCCTAAGCCTTCCTTTTGAGAATCTAATATTCTCTTTTCCCCAGGGCTTCATGTCCTTGGTCTCCTCTCACCCCACCAATTTCTTCTGGGCTTTGGAATTCTGCCAGCCCCACTGTAGCTCCTAGCCTCCATGAAGAGTCTTTCACATAAGTACCTTCCCTGCTCTGATTCCTGGATCAACATACATTTCCCCTTTTGGGTTCAGAGAACTTATGGTCCTCCTTCTTGAGGCTGTGCTGTGATTCAAGCTGACTTCCCCTGCTCAGCAATTCAGGTTCCCTTCCAGGGAACTGTTCTCCTAGAGGCACATACGCCTCCATCTCCTCACCACCTCACAGTTTGGTTTTGTCCTGTCTTTCAGGAGGTATCCACAATTAACACCAGGTCCCCATTCCCAATTTGTCTACTGATCCCTAGAAAAAATTTCTTTAAGTGACCATGTCATGGAACAGCAGTTGGCTATGCCTCACTGGCCTTTAATGGGGAAAAAAGTCACCCTGGTACAGTAAGAAAAAACTAAAAAATAGTAAAATGTGATCAATGCCAAACTGACAGTGGACTCCACTGGCAGGGATAGTACCAGAAGATACTTTAATCTTAGTTCTTCATATTAAGTACAGTTCAAACGCATCCCCTTGCAACATAGTCATTTAAAGGGATATCAGGAAGTGGCAATATTTTATGGACTATTATGCAAAATAAGATGTTTATTGGAAGAAAAACAATCTATGCCCACACAGTCAAAATAATGAATAGCGTCTAAAATGGAAGGAGCTTCTTCTGCCAATTTTTTTTGGCCCCAAAACACTCTAATATGAGCACAAACTTCATTTGTATATAAGAATCAGATAATTTAGTAGGAAAATGTAGCCCTAAAGGCTTGTTCACATTTGAATAAACTCTTACCTTAGAGCACTATTTAGTATTCCTCACTCACTTGTTAATCCTGAAAATGCCCACTGAACTCAATGGGAGTTTGGGTGACTAAAGAATGCTGAACAGGACCCTTAGAGACTGTTAAAATACTCTGTACAAAAATGATTACAGGTTATGTTCTGCTGCAAGGCACTGTGTTTGTTTTTCTCTAATTATGAGGACAAATTAACAAGCAAAGCTTAAACCTTTCAAAAGAAGAAAGCCTTCAGTAAATGAATGTAGTAATAGAGGTCCTACTATTGTACCATGATTATTGGTTTACCAATAGTATTCTTGATGTACTGTTTTGTTCATGGATTTTTAAAAAGCAAAGCATGTCAAAAACATTTTAAAGGAAGAGAGAAATCAACTACTTGCTAAATTCCCTTTAAACACAAACTTGCACACAGCTTTGCATGGCAGTATAATATAGGGCTCCATGAACTATACACTTATTTTATTTTAGCAAGTCTTGATTATTGTCCCCTTCCACATTTTAGTTTAGATAGTAGATAATAATCCTGGTTCCACTTGAAGGGGGAGGAGCTTTCCACTGACTGAAATGGGGCCCAGATTTCACTCCAGGTTTTTCCAGGATTGCAGCCTGGTTATTCAAATTGTTGCTGAGTTATTGTAGTTGGCAGAAATAGACCACTGTAGAAAAACAACTTTAGAAAGCGGCATGTTGTCTAAAAAGCCAATAAAATGTTATATCTTTACACAGAAATAATGCTACCCACTTAAGACATAAACAACTTTTCTAAGAAATGAATATTATTTCTATTTTACGAGGGGGGGGGCAGGGAGTGGAATCTGAGGTGAGCGTGATACTTCCATTTGTTTCCTTTTCTATACAACTATGCATGAGTAACAGCCTCTTTTAGGCTCTGATCTACATTACAGTTTCCAATGAGTCAGCCTTCCGTCCAATAAAATGATACAAATAGAATTCAGGGAAATCATCTACAAGTCACTGTAGTTGTTTAAGGACTTAATAATGGTGAGTGATTATTTGTAACCATGTGGATGCAGGCACATTCAAGACAACATAAGCAAGAATATAATTTGTTTCTTGATTTATGATATCATTTGCTGGCAGTGCTTCAACATACAATGCATATATGGGCAACTGGGACATCAGGTATGCAGAGCGGCTGACAGCAGTATGGCCTGTGGTAACATAATTTCTTTAATAAAGGATTGTGGTAAGACACATCTATCAAAGGTTATCTCTGCTTTAATATTTCAAAATCTCAAAGACATGACCAAAACCACTCTGAATCATAAAACTTTGCTCTGTCTAAAAATTTCTGTTTACTGATATTTCTTTTACTAAGAAATCGCTTTATAAATCTTGAACTTCAAACAGTTCAGGTAACATTTATTTTGTTCACTATCCTAAAAGCATCATTCTTGCAAAAATGTTTCCTCAGAATCCTCAGTATTTTTCTAGGTCATTACTTTTGTCTCTATTTCCTGGTACAGTGGTTGAGTTATATTCTGGGAATAGCTGTGGAATGCAAACACAACAAGCATGCATAGCACAACAAGAGAAAAAATATCAAAGAGAAAGATTCAATTTGCTGCTGATGAGCGGTATGATTAATAAATTCAGTGATGTAGCACACAATCTTCTTTTAGTGACTATTACTATTTATCATTAGAGTCACTCTTCTGAATGTAGATGTACTGAATCGTGTCCTATGTTATTTTCTCCAATGTAGATTTTAAACTGTATCATTCACGTTCTCAAAGCATATTGCCATAAAACTAATTTATGTTCACTGATTATCAATAATGTTCCTGGGGAATTTTATGTGTTCTTAAATTTTGAAAAAGTGACTATGTTGGTGATAATACAGTATAAATCAAAGGCAATACCATCATATGTATATATAATATAAATCTTATGCATCAACTATACTAACATAAAACTCAGCACTGAAGTACCGGTTTTTCTCTGACAAATTTAACCTGTGAAATAATTATGATACAAATAGTGATTCTACTGTACCCAGTAAGAATTTGTATACTATAGATGTAGCTTTTACTAAGAAATCTGCCCAGTCTTCCTTACAAGATTCAAGTAAACAGTCAGGAAAAGAAAAAGTAAGCACATCTAACAATAATTTAAGCATGGCAGGTTAATGCAACTTGGTGGTCACAGTAAGCCCCTGAAAGAATGGTGTATTTTGTTGCATATAGAAATACAAAGAAATTATTAAACAGTGTTACATTCCATGACAGAGACTATGATTGTGTTGAAAATTCAATCAGGTTTCCTTGTCAGTCTAATAATGAGAATTTTAACATGCTCCTGCCAAAAATCAGTGAAGCATAGTATTGCATTCAACAAACAGACTAAAGCCAGATTCTAATTCTCTGGCTCAAAACAACAGAAAATAACTGTCACAGGTTGCTATATTTTTGCTTGCATCCTATGCTGAATAAGTTAAGAAAAATAACATTAACATGGATTAATGAGAAACTATGTATTTTTCAAATTCCTGTGCTTTTCTTTTTATAGTCTAACACATTAACTTACCCAACAGCATTGCACTCACTGATAATGAAAAGAAAGCAGGCAGTACAAATCTTCTTAAGCCTCCCGTGGCAAGAAAACTATTACAGAAATGAATAGAAGAAAGTCTCTTGAGCCTTTCCCTTGCCTGCTTGCTTTACAAAAGGCAGTTAGGATCACACTGAGAAGTGTCAAAGCTGAATAAACCACTAGCAATTGGGTATATACCCTTTGGGCAGTTAGTCCTTCATAGATGATGATTCGACTTTGTCCAAAAACCAATATGTGAGAAACAATGCAGAATCTACCAGAGACTGTAGCCAAGCTTAAAACTGTAGACAAAGAAGCAGTTTGCTTCTAAAGGTTTGCAAGGGAGGGCTTGTCACAGAACATTAATTCAGGCAGCCTGAAATTACATCAAACCAATGCATCTAAATACTGTTAATCTGCAGCTTTTCTCCTTGCATTTAAGAGCAATTCAACTGCAGTGTGCTGGAGCCTCTGGGTTTATAGTGTAGCTTAAGAACATGGGAGCTCTCTGGTCTCCCATTTCACATTAAAATGCATGCTTAGCACTTATAAAAGCATATTGCAAAATATATTTTTCTCAAGCTTTGTTAGGAGCTGCACCTTAGCATCTACCAAAGGACTTTAAATAGTATGATTTAAAATTACTCTTTTTCTCTATACTGCACTTGAACTTTTATCTAAAGGAAATGAGCTTTAAAACAATAAAATGTGGAGAATTTTTTTCTGAAGATACGACATACAGTATGTTGGAGCCTGCCAATGAAATAGCTAAAGAACAACATTTATTGTAATGGATATTGTTAAGAAATAACATAGAATGGTTTTAAACCTGTATTTTCATTTAAACTTTTCTTATAATTTAAAAACACTCAAATTTATATATTACCTGACTGGAAAACAAAAATTTTGAATGAACAGCTTTCTTTAGTATGTTAGTCTACATGCACACTGAGCATTTCTGTTCTTAAGTGATTTGAAGTTTAATGCAAGCTTTAAAATAGATTCATTTGAAATATTGGCTATATCACGAGAGTTTCCTTTAATAAAAATAGGAATGCCTATAGAACACATGGAAATTCAGGCTCTGAATAGTGATAAATATGCTAAGTACTAGCATCTATGAAAATGAAAGAAAATTCCACTTGATGGTAATGAATTCCCCATCCCCCAGTCTTTCCTTTTAAAGGAACCAATATTTTGGCCATTCTCCAGCTTCTGAGAGCATCCATTAGAGATGATAAATTTCCGGCTTTCAAGTTTTAAATTGTTCTGAGGCTGCAGAATATAGAGACAGCATGCATATATTTAGCATTTTGGTTAACATGAGATGGGTCTAAGCCAAATACAATGGGCACAATGATGGTCCAAGTCATTTTTCACTTTACCATGGAATATATTGAGAGATTACCCACGGTGTCCCTAGAGACTAGGCTACGGGCTAGTGTGTTAAGATAGCATGGGCTCCTTCAAGACTCAGGACTAATGCACTCTTGCCCTGCTAGTCAGGACTCTAAGCTATTCCTGTAACAATGGCACCCCTTGTGCACATCTGAGGAAGTGGGTTTTGCCCACGAAAGCTCATGATACTATATTAAGCTCATGAGACTATTTGTTAGTCTCTAAGGTGCCACAGAACTACTTGTTTTTAAAGTTACAGACTAACACAGTGTTACCCTTCTGAAACTCTTTGTACCAGTATTGAATGCAATTGTCCGTAGGGATTTGCAGTCACAATTTCAATGTCTCTGCTTCTTTTTTAACTCTTCTCTGCATGCTACTGTAATTTGTGATTTAGAAAAGTGTGAAGTGCTTTTACAAAAGTCGCATGTTGAATCAGGACACCAGGTCATGGAGAGAGAAACTTCCATCTGTTGTGCCTCCTTAATTGTCTTTGTATTGCATTGAATGGATATATACAGATTAAAGGCCTGATGCAAAGCAGGAGTTACTAAGAGTCTTTCCATCAATTTCAGTGGATTTTGGATTAGAATCTAAAGTTGACCGTTGATGCGGAGTTAACTGGCAACGTACAGCCCAGTGAAAATATCAAGTAAATTATCTTTGCCACGCAGCCATCACTGGCTGCTTCCAAATACTTATGTAATTTATTAATCTGGGTTTCTATCCCAAGAAAAATGGCTTTTAAGCATCACCGACTAAAGTTATATACACAAAAATTAATCCCATCTGGCAACAGAATTGAACCACCTATTCAACATGAACCTCATATACAGATCAAATTCCCATAACCACCTCCTCCACAAAACTCTGATCTTTAACAGGGCAATTTTAGACTGCAAACAAGATTGTGTTTGGTTGGTTGGTTTTGTTTTTGTTGTTTTTTCTTTTTTCAGCTTACTTTCTTATTCCAGAGCTGAATGTCCCAGCAGTGGACAGTTTGGCACCATAGGACCAGGAAACATCAAAACGACAATAATAAAATATGGTAAGAGTTGGTGTCATCACTGAATTTTGAATATTTAGCCTGTAATGTTCCATGGCATAATTCACAGAACACAGTTTATAAATCCCCTATATAAGTAGTCCCATTTACACAAGTAGTTTACACAAGTAGTCCCATTGATGTTAAGAGACTCAGATGAGTAACTGCTTACTAATGTAACACATTCATAATCTGGCCCAGAGAACATCTATTGCAAGAGATGAGAAGCAGCAACAATAGTCATCTGAATAATAGTGAATAATATTAGTACATTCAAAAAAGTCTCATGCTGGTATTCATAAAAGACCACAAATAGAAAGAACCTTCCAGTACAAATCCCAGTTATTTAAGCTCCAGTCAAAAAGTAATTAAGCCACAGTCATCATTTTCTATATCCGTAACAAGCCCTGAGTGATTAAGTGCAAACTGGAAAGGAAGTTGAACTGTGCCATAACTGCTATCTAATACATATAAGACCAAACATTTACACCTTTATTTCTGTTAAATAGTGACTTACTCTGAGCATTCCCCTGTTCATTTTAACTGCACCCAGCTAAGTCATCTGCTGCTGTGTTTCTGTGGAACAACAGTGACAATAATTAGCCACTTAGGTTATGTGTCTAAATACCTTTTTCCTATGGCTGACCTACAGAACACAGCCACCAAAGGCATCTGCTAATAAAAGTTGCCAGCTGAACTAAGAATAGAGAGGTCAACTAAACTGGAATAAGAGTCTAAAGCCCCAAATAGCTACAATAGTTTGAGTCTTAACAGAGCTGGATTAAGACGGGCTCAGGCCCTGAGCTACGTCAAGTTTAAGAGGCCCCACAGCACTACCAAAAAAGTGCATTATTCTAAAAGAAAGGACGATAAGTAGAAATGATAAAGTTTTATATTTGCATGTATACCAGTACATAGGGAAGGATGCAACTCAAAACTATATTTTTATGTATTTATTTAGAGGTCCCCCAATTTGAGGACCTAACGTGTATCTTACTTAGCTTATGCATAAATCCAGCACTGGCCCTAAATGTTTCTAGGTTCTTTAAAATACACTCACAAAATAGAGGTAGCGATGGAAATTTTGGGAAAAGCAAGCCAATTTTGGCGATTCTTGTCACTGTTTAAAAGAAACACCATTGAAAATGACTTATCAGGAGGGTAGGATGGCCAACTACTGAAAATGAATTGTATCGACACCATAAAAAATATTACAGACAACACAACAAAAATGTTATGGACACATTATTACATAATATAAAGATGGCTCAAAAGGACAAAAGTGAACAATATTCAATGTTTTTTATTCATACACATCACAACAGCAATTTTACCGTGCTAGTTTAACCTACTTACTAGCCACATCAGCATCCCCCAAGTTCTCCACTTTACAGTCATTCGCTGTGGCAGCCACACAGTCAGCCATTGCGTTAGTAATTTTTCCAGGTTCATTTTTGACAGTCAATAATCCTACCACCATAGGACAGTTTCTTTCTTAAATTTAAGTGACGGATCTGCTGTGACTTACTGGCAGAGAGGCTGTGGGAGGCTACTACATCCAACCCATTCTACCCAGTCCTGTACTGCTCTCCCAGATACAGAGAGCCCAGCAGGGGTGTGTGCTGCACCCACGCACACACACACCAAAAGTAGCTGCTGTGCTGGTGCTAGTAATGCCAAAGAAGAGTTTAAAGGCAGAAATAGAGAAGAGCAACCCCTGTCAGATAGCAACAGATCAGAATAATCCCCACCAGGAAAATTCTCTTCTCAGACCCTCCCCTAGCGATTGTAGGCTCCCTATAGCTTCCCTGTGGTGTGGAGCTCACTCTGGCCTCAAAGGGTACGTCTACACTGCAACGCTATTTTGAAATAATGAGCGCTATTACGAAATAACTTAGTGTGCGTCTACACAGTAGGTAGTTATTTCAAAATAGTGTCAAAATACTGTCAAGCTGGAGCATTTCTTACTCTGACTCTTGTAACCCTCATTGTACAAGGAACAAGGGAAGTTGGAGGAAAAGTGCTCTATATCTAAATAAGTGCTGGGTAGACGCTCCATATTTCAAAATAAGCTACGCAATTGACATAGCTCAATTTGTGTTGCTTATTTTGAGTTAAGCCCTGCAGTGTAGATGCACCCTTTGAGGCCAGGTTGGATGAGGACTCCTTAACTCCACTGCAAAGCCTGATGGTTTTTTACTGATATCTAACTCTTTTTATGAATTTTTATGGATTAGTCCAATTTGAGCTTTTACTTTTAAACACATTGTTCATGAATTTACCGATGGTTGACAACACTGCTGAATGGGAGCTAAAATTGTCACATGGTCAGACTTTTAAGTAGGGCAGTTTGAGATAGCATGTCTCTCAACTGAGTTTTACAAATTTAAAGAGTGTACAGTGCCCATCCTCCACATCTGAAATTTTCACACTCTCCCTGTTGGTTTAAAAAGAGAGAGAGAGAGAGAGAGAGAGAGAGAGAGAGAGACTTGAATTTGTATAACTGTACGGCAGCTATCAAACATTTGTAGTCAGGGCCTTAGTCTAAAACTTTCAATTTCTAAATGTCAGTTTAATTTTCCGATGGCTTGGAATGACTCTCTCCTGTATACTTATAGTCAATCCCACTCCAGGGTATTGCTGCAAGGTCCAGTGCCACCCGATGACAGCATACTATGAGCTTGGAAATGGATGCTGTAGGCACTCCTTGGGTTCTAGATCCTGGAATAGTTGCACAAGCACCCAAATGCTTCAACTAATAGAGGATTACCCTTCTAAGGCCACGTCTTCACTCTGCAAAAGATTGACATTGCCACAATCAATCTTCCAGAGTTTGATTTAGCGAGTCTAGTTAAGACTCACAAAATCAAACTCAGAGGGCTCCCACATAAATGTGTGGTACTCCTGATCTTGTGAGGAGTAAGGGAAGCTGATGGTAGTGTTTGTTCCTGTCAGCCTCCCAGTGTGGGGACTCCACCTCAGCTGGCTTAACGTAAGCCGACTCCAGCTACATATTCTACATAGCTGGAGTTGCGTACCTTAAGCTGAGTTGCTGGGTCTAGAGTAGACCTGGCCTAAGGCTGCCAAAATAAAAGG